ACCCCTGTATTCACACAATTCCTATTAGAAGAGTTTCCTCATTGTGGCATCCGACCATAATTGTCAGGGGGGAGAGGGAAGAGAGGCACAGGAACGGAAATGTCCCTGGGAAGACCTACATGAGGTATCTTGAGGAGCATCCACAAAGCACAGTGCAGCACTGCTGCAATACCTGTGTCAGCCCCAAACAGGMTAATGTGGCCCTGGAAACAGTACAACAGTTACAGTGTCCACTTAAACACTCTCATTAAGCTACCACCTCATCACATTTTATGATGAGAGCAAAGCTTTGATAGTGCTCTCTGAAGAAGAGCACACAAAGGGATAAGATGAAGAAAATAGATCATTACTGTGTTAAATACACCTAATACCTATGGGTCCCAATCATAAACCATAAGGATGAGGTAATATTCGATAGGAAAGTAAAGAGGGCTATTCTCCATTTGGAAATGTAAGCACAAGAGAAGACAGAGGGATAGAGATATTCTGACAGTGATACAAAAAAAGAAAAAAAAAAAAAAAGCCAGACTGTTTGGGCTGCATGACAGGCAGTGGCCTCAGTCCTCTGGAAGCAGACTGTCATCGAGCCTTTTATAGAAAAGAAAGAGTTTTGACAATGGTCAGAGAATGGTACTACATAATCATCTGTTTTGAAAATGATGAAGGCAGCTTCCCCCAGGCTTAAGTAATGGCACAGAAGGAGGTCTAAAGCTTCTATTTTGAAAACATAACAAGGCAAGAGAACAAGCTTATGCTGTAGGAGACAGATATAAACTCTGAAGGGCTTTGGAAGTGAGAACAGAGATGACAGAAATGTGGAAGCCAACAGAGCTGAAGAGGGAGGCACACAYAGCAAGGAGATTGTTACGTTCAGATTGGTTCTTTCTTCTAACATACACAGCTTTTAGAAACACAGGTTTTGCTCGTGTAAAAATCGTAACTCAGAAACACACAGACTGCAGCTCACAGATTGATTTTATGCTGCCAGAACAATTCATCTGTCACGTTCATCACAGTGGCCTTCAGATGTGGCTGAAGAGCACACAGGAAGAATCGTACTGATCCCAGAGGGTCTACACTTCCCTTCTTCCCTYTCCTCCTTGAAGGACCTGCAATTGTCCCTTTCGCACGATGGAAGATTTGTCATATGCCAAAATACATGCTTCCCAGCCGTGCAGTGGGTATATCCATCCAGTCCTGCACGTGTGTGCACCCGCCCATGAGTGACCACTGCTTGCAGATTCCCGTGTGCCRCTGGAAACCATGACGGAGGGCAGAGCAGCTATCTTGGGCATGACAGGGAATGCAACTTCCCTTCAACATACACCCCAGCCCCTGTTACATGCCTAAAAATGTACACAACGGACAAGCCGGAAGGTCTGGTCATGTAATACATCCTATCTGCCTGCTCTGAAAGCGAAGGAAGTCTCTTTAGCTCAAACAGTAATTACCTTTCAGCTCAGCCTTTTGGCTAAAATCTAGTATTACGAAATCATTTTAAAATATGGCTTTATCCCTTCAGGTTTTGCTTGCCTTGTCTCTTTTCTTCTAAAATAGTCATATATGGCATACATATATCACAAAGCATTCAAGTAGAGAGATGGAATTCTGGGGAATAAGAAATTCTAGTCATCTACTTGTGGATATATCACAAAGCATTCAAGTAGAGAGATGGAATTCTGGGGAATAAGAAATTCTAGTCATCTACTTGTGGATATATCACAAAGCATTCAAGTAGAGAGATGGAATTCTGGGGAATAAGAAATTCTAGTCATCTACTTGTGGAAACATAGGCTGCTAGTTTTGCACAATTCATGTCATACTCGCACAAAGACAAAATATTAAAAAGCAAAGGCTTTTTTTGATGTATAAAAGATGCATTCAGAGATAAAAGCTTCTGAGACAAGCTACTGRAGTGAATAGAAAGGAATAAATGGTGATGAAATGCAAAAAGCAAATGACAGTTAACACTCGGGAAACATGCAGGAATAATTAAAGAGCCTTCTAGTTCCTCAAGTCTTTCTCAGATTATCAATAGGCACGCGAGAGTAGTTTTATTCATAACTAAGCCTTAGAAATGGGTTTATCTTTAGATACAACAGCTGACTGCTCATCATACTTAAGGATTTATTTCTTAAGTTTATTCTCCTTAAGTTTATTCTTAAGTAATTCTGCTGGTATAAGCCTGCCTTTTGGAGTACTAGAGATCCACGAAGCTCCTAAGAACACTGTGGCCCCCTCCTCCTCACCTGGTGATAGAAGAGATGAAGCATGAAGGTTCAGAGGTGGCAGCTGCAGAGCATTAAAACTTYCAACTTGATTAAGAAAATTTCTGTCCTAGAAGAACATATAAATATCTAGGAGTTCCAGCTACCACCAAAGAAAGAGTGGCCAACGCCTGACAGGGAGGGCACGGCACCTTTGATGTGAGAGTCAACGTTAAGTGGAGAAGACAGGAATATAGAGAATCAACATTCTACATGCTTCTATGGGAATGTTTGATTAATGAATTTTCCCACTCTTCTGCTGCAGTGCAAAGGGACTTTTTCAGAAATGTTGATCACAAGACATTTCTTTGACACTGACTCCTCTGTTACCATGTCACAAACTGTATCATTCAGCTCAGTGGAGAATGCACTCTCCGTTCCACTGAGTATGCTGGAAATCAGGTAGTATGATGCTTTTGAGAATCTGGGCACTTATAGAGATGATGTTTCTTTAATTAAATCCCATAGTAAATTCTGAATAATCTTATCCAAATAAATGATAAAAAATCATTAAAATAATTACTGAAGGAACACATTTCTTTTAACATCTCAGCTAATTTCTTAGGGTGATTAAATTTACCTCTGCCAGCTTTGCCCTCCTTTTCATCACCTTCCACGAGGTCTGATGTCCAACATGCATTAGAGAGTCCCTGGAGCTTTCAAGCAACTTTCTTGATGCTATTGCTGATAGATCTTCTGGGAAACAAATGATTTCTCTACCCAAGCTGGAATGACATCCTTCTTCCTCCTTTCTCTCATTTGCCTGCCCTCATTTCCTGTGCATGATACTGCGTGGTAATATGGAAAATTAAGACATTACTTCTTTCCTCCTAATACATAATAGAAATGTTAATGAGTTAACATTGAGTATAATATTCCGATCTGATGTCTGCTCATGCACATCTCTATTGAATTAATTTGGGCAAAATTTGACTCAGATCAACAGGAATTTTTGCAACCATCAAAAAGCTGCACTGCGAAATATTTAAATTGCCAGGAATCACAAGACACATCCCTTGGAAAGCCTGRAAAAGCTTCAGGGGAACTTCAGACATGAGGTAACGACAAAGTSTTCTTGGGTGAGTCTCACTTTGCAGCTAGAGCAGTGCTAGACGCAAATGTAAAAGTGCTATGACAACTGTGTGCACTTTCCTGGTCTCTAGAGYAATCCCTCTGGACTAGTGCTCCCCTGTGCCACCTCTGCCAAGCTGGCACATGAACACACCAGAAAGCTACTTGCTTCTTTTTTGCATCTGTATTCTGTCAGCTGAATTCACTAGGCCAACTGCTAGAGCAAAAACGAGGAAAACTGCAGGAAAGGGAGTCAGAGGGAAAACCAGACTATCACCTTTCAGCAAGAGCAAGTTCCTAGACTGTCTTAGATACATCATCAAATAATATCTCAAGCAATGAAGTGTAAGACATCATTTTTTTTTCCTTCTTCTTCATCTTTTGCTTTGGTAGAAAGCAGAGGAGGTTGAATAACTGAAACAGTTAAATTCTAGGTCTARACTTATTAATTCCTAACATAGAAAGCCAAATGTAAGTGTACAGGCTTTGTACAGCCAAACACAATTGCAAAATTGTTACAGACTGTGTAAGCGCACTCTACATTTACTACCAATTTTTATAAATAGTTGGCTTCATCAGAGAGAACAATTAGGACTAAGGGAATATGATGGTCTTGCAGCACAACAGCATAGTCTCTCACTGTCAACAGACTCAAAACATGTGCCTGACTAACATTAGGGAGGCTACAGATCTCAAAATCGCTTCCAGTAAGTCCATCYATGAAAATATCTCATTCAGATCTCACAGTAAATCACAGTTTCRTAATTTAGCTTTGAACACATGAGAACTATAATAAACAATTTACTGTTTTTACACTCGTGAAACTCAAGAACTCGAAACTCAAACCCAAAGTTTGGAAATTATCAGTTGCATCAGTATGCAGTAATMTTTTTATTAATATTTCTTGTATATTAACCAGACTACAGTGATGTTTTGCACATGTTCAGAAGAGGCTATGGTTTAAACATACCTGCCTGCTGTTATTTTAAACTATCAAGAACAATGTCAGCACTTCATCCAGCAAGTCTCATGATACACTCCATGTTCCAATTGGGCTGTCAGAGAATAAAAACACGTCTTTAATTTTCCACGATAATTCTCCCATGCTGACGTTACCAACGTTTTATTTCAAAAGACTCAAGGCCTTTCAACCTCCRTCTTTTAACAGTGCCTTACATTTCTCTTTTTAACAAGGAAAATAGAGTCTATAAAACCATGTTAAAAATCAAGACATTGGCACAGTYCCTTCTCTTGAATATGTTCTTTTAATAAATTTTGTTTTTCCCTCAGTACTTTGGTTCTAATGAAAAGTATCAGTTATATCCTAGAAGGAAAGGGCAAGAACGGTTCTCAAGGAATCCCCTAGATCCAGGGAGTGTCAAGCATATCTTATTTCTCAGTAGTCTCACCAGTCTAACCAGTCCTTAAAGATCTACCAGCATAGAAATTCAGAAAGATTTCAATCCCGGTCACACAATGATGCTTTTCACAAGGCTATAAGGAAGTTCACATGGGAGAACCACTCTTTCTCACTATATATTAAACATAAAAAAAAACCAAAACAAACCCACAGACTTGAGGTACTTCCATACTAATATAGAAACACAGACAACMTCAGGTCTGTGTGTCTGTTTACTGGTTCATTTACTGTAGCAGCTAATAGGTTATATCTAACTCAAACTTATCCCCCTACAAACTATACTTACTTTTCCAAATGTTAGTTGCAAATCTGGGACACTCTTTCTTATCTTGCAAGTACACAAGTCCTAGTGCCTCAGAGAATGGCAAGAAAAGAATGCAGACAACTATMATTTTATACATGGCATTTGCCAGAGAAACAATACAGCCTAATGATAACAAGCAATATGGATTTCTTCCTTACTGGGACAGTAATTTGTATGAAATAGGATACCTACATSTGATTAAATGATACCGACACCAAACTTTTGGACTTGGTGACTACTGGAAATCACCATTCTTTCTTCTTTTTATTTGATGTTCTTTCCTAACACTAGTTCAGCAAAGCAAATTATTTTAATGATCCTTTCAGCTTGATATTTAAGCTATGTCCATAACTTAAAAGCTAGTAAATGCAGATTTTTCTGTGAATTCTGCACTTGGAACACAGCCCTAAAAAGTCAGCATCACCATGCTTCATTTCCTGTATTTCAAATTAAAAATACCTCTCATTATTTAATCCCCACACTAACATGAAACAATACACYAGTAGGTCAGCACTACACAATACACATGTGAGATGGTATCAYATTTTAGGTGCTGATGCCATGACAGCATCACCCATGCTGACTTACATAAAGTCACACTGTCCTCTTCTCCTAGGCCTGGCCCAACTCTCTGCTGCATCACAGGATCCTGCCGTACTTYCCACCTTCCTTTTCCCAGAGGGTGGGCAGCGTTTCTACTCTACTGGTAAAGAGAGGGAGATATTGCAGATGCCTTTTAAGGAACATTCCTTCTTCCAGTCCAGGAACAATACTTAGCAATCTTGACACAATTCTGGGCAATGACATTGTTAAGCTTCAAAATGATACCGTCCCTCAGGGGGTGCCAAAATAAAGCAAATCACAGTAGGGTGATTATAAAAATAATTTACGATGTTTGAATGCTATTCGTGGATGAGAGGGTGCTCAATGAAAGAGAAAGTACAGATTTTCAAACCTTATGTTTATAAGCAACTCAAGTTTTTTTTTTTTAATATATTTTCATAAAACATCTTTTGTTGCCATTCTGCAAACAATGCTATCCAATAAGGTGCTGATTTTCTCTTCCTGTGGAGTAATTTTGTATATCTGCAGAACAAAAGAACAAGAAAAACAAAGTCTGTATAATGAAGAAAAGAAAAAGAATACCTATTCATTAAAGATATATACATTATTTTTCCCCATAAGAAAGGCAGGTATTAGAAATGCATAAAGTTTCCCTTACAGCAAGTTTCCCATCATGTTAAAGAAATACAAACTCCAAATGAGTTATGACAGTTGAGATTTAGTCAGATTATGAAATAAAGTGTCCCTGTTTTCAACCACAATTATTTCTCTGGGTTACCTTTTTGACTTTTTCAATGTCTGTCAGCTGGGGGAGTTCATCTAGAGAAACCTGCTGGCCTTCTACTTGAGATGTGATCTCTTCCAGATTTACAGGCTTTTCTGTGTCTACAATCAGGACAATGAGTACCGCTGTGTCGCTGTCTGATATGCCAAATTTCTTCAAAGCATCTGAAATCTAAGGAAAGATGAACACAGCATTTAACTCATTTTTTCTTAATTAAATATAAGCAGCGTTTTCAATTACTGAGTATAAACAAGCATGAAATATAAACTGACAAGTTTTAGGTTAATAAAATTCTGATGAACTCTAAGAGATAATTTATTTCTTACACTAACTTCTGTTTGGAGTTTGGAGGTTTTATTCCCCTCAGATCAAAATATTTTGSTAGGAAATTTTAGTTTCTTCTTTTAGTTTCTTTAGTTTCTGTTCTTTGCCTGATTCTTTTGGGTAATTTCTTAATAAAACCTTGTTTAATATATTTAAGTATTCCTCAGTTTTGCTACTAAGACTTACTTTCAGTGTCTAATGTTCACAACAATGTAGTCAAATCAATAGCTTTTTTTCTGGCACGCCAGTGTGAGAGGATTTAGGGTCACCCTATCATTTTTACCTTATTTAAAATAAAGAAGTTTAAAGAGAATATCATAGGCTTAAATATCACACACTTAAAATAGAAATAAATAAACAAGCAAACTACCTAGAACTGGTCAGGAATGATTATTCTAAAGTACTCAAGGATGAGAAATAACAACAGAAACTCTGTGAATTTTGTCTGCATCACCGTAGGACTAAGGGAAATATGACTTCATATGGTGACTTTGGAGAAGTTTCTGGTGAATTTGATGACAGAACGATGTGCCAAGGCCAGGCAAATTATTTATCCGCCCGCAAGGATTCCAGCAAGCTTCTCAGGCACAACCAGTACCTGCTGTGCAAACCTTACATTATTGTTTGGCGAAAGGTTGAAAATAATTTCTGTGTAGAGAGTCCTGGTCTTCATTTTGCCCATCGCGTGCAGATGAACCGCCTTGTTGGCTGCCACGAGGACCTGAAACGGGTCCACGACCTGCAAAACACAAGAGGGGATTGGGGAATGACGGGGAACGGTCAGAAATGGGCAGGGAATGCTCGGGGACGGTTGGGGAACGGCCGGCGGTCGGGCGGGGAACGGCCGGTGGACGGTCGGGAACGGTCGGGAATGGCCGGTGGACGGTCGGTAACGGCCGGGAACGGCGGGAAACGGCCGGGGGACAGGCGGGAACGGCGGGAAACGGCCGGGAACGGCGGGAAACGGCCGGGGGACGGGCGGGAACGGCGGGAAACGGCCGGGGGACGGCGCGGAACGGTCGGGGGCTGCGCGGCGGCGCCCTCACCGCGGCGGGGCTGACGAGCGCAGCCGGCAGGGCGCCCTCGGCCGCCCGCCGCCGCAGCGCGCCCGCGTTGCGCACGCCGCGGAAGAGCAGCAGCGTGGCGGCGCGCGGCGGGCACAGCTCGAGCGGCTGCGTGACGGCCGCCATGGCGCCTTCCCGCCGCCGCGGCTCCTCCCCGGAAGGGCGGCCTCTCCCCGCGGCGGCGGCGGCGGCGGCGGGGCGACCATGGAGCGCGCCGTGGCCTACGGCTTCTCGGCCGCCATGAGCGGCGCGCTGCTGCTCTCGTGCCTGCTCTTCGCGGCGCTCAACCGGCGCCAACGCGCGCCCTACATGGACGAGGCCTTCCACGTGCCGCAGGCGCAGGCCTACTGCGAGGGCCGCTTCGGGCAGGTGCGTGCGCGGCGCGGCGCGGCCCGGCTCCGCGCCTCCCGCCCCGCCGCGGGTTCGGGACCACCCCGCGCCCTCSTGCGGGTCCCTCATTTGGAATGCGGGTCCGTTATCTGGAACCGTTATTCCCACGAGCGAAAGGGGCGCGTGTGATTATAGGCCATAATAATATTGTTATTTATATTAGTTTTATTGCTATTATTGTGGCTGTAAGGCACCCAAAGCAGTTGTCCGTATTCCTGAGGACTCTGTGTCCTGGCCCTAAGCGTGTGACATGGCCGCAGGGACACACAGATGCCTCGCGCCAACCCCCAAAGCCCGTAAATAGCCCCGGTGCTGCAGTGGGTGCCCCCCTGAGCCGCCCCTCTCTGCCCCACAGTGGGACCCCATGATCACCACCCTGCCCGGCCTCTACCTGGTGTCCGTGGGCGTCGCGCGGCCCCTGGCCTGGCTCTTYGGCTGGACGGGCTCCATCGCCTGCTCCACCGGGATGCTCCGCTTCATCAACCTGCTCTTCAGCGTCGGGAACTTCTACTTGCTCTACCTGCTCTTCTCCAGGCTGCATCCCAAAAGCAAGGTACGGACCGAGCAGCCTCCTGCGCTGCTGAAGGCTGTGGTGATGGTCTCCAAGGATGGGATCCTCTTGTGCRTGACTGTAAAGTTTCATTGGAATAAAACATGAAGTTAGTATCCATATGGAGCAGTTACCTAAGGGATTGAGTGCYCCTCTAGTTGGAATTGCCTAAGACATGACATAAAACTTCACCCGCTGATTCCTGAACAAAGCCCCATGAGCTGTTTGAGCTGAAGTGTATTCTTTAGATAGGTGTTAGACTTGATACTGAGTTTTAGAATTACAGGGTTGGAAGGCAACTTCAGGTGAGCTCTAGTCCAATTTCCTGCTCAAAGCAGGGTCTGCTCTGAGGTCAGATTGGGCAGCTCAGGACTTTATCTAGTTGAGTCTTGCAAACCTCCCCACATGGAGGGCACAGCCTCTGCAGATAACCTGTTGCACGGCTTGACTGGCCTTTCACCTCCACGGTGAAAAGATTTTCCTTTCATTAACCCTTTCAAAATGCTCTTATTTCAATTTTGTGTGTTGTCTGTCAGTCCACCACCTCCTTACAGCTATTGGCAGGCTACTCTTTGGTCCCGCTGGAACCTTCTCTTCTCCAGGCTGAACAAGCCCAGATCCCACAGCTTCTGTTCACGGGGCAGGTGCTCCAGTCCTTGTCCATCATGGTGGCCTTCCTCCTTCAATCCAGTTTAGTCTTTTTATTTGTTTATTATTATTATTATTATTATTATTATTATTATTATTATTATTATTATTATTTGGAGTGTTCAGGACTCAACATGATGCTCTAGAGGTGGTGCAACAAATGCTAGTTTATGGGAAAAAGCAGCTTCCTCTTTCCCAAGTGCAGGATCTTGCATTCTTCTTGCTGAATTTCATAAGGTTTCAGTTGCCTCCATTCCTTCAGCTTGTCTAGATTCCTCAGGATGACAGGTCTGCTCTTCAGTGTGTTACCTCAGCCCTCTGATTTGGTGTCATCTGCAAATCTTATGTGAGTTTGTTTTGTTATGTGTTTTGTTGCTGCCTGCAGGCATAAGGATGTTGGACAGGACAGGTTGCAGTAGAGACCTCTGTGATGCTAGTTACCAACCTCCAGAAAGACCATGACCTCTTTAACTGAGCCTGACCACCCTGTCAAGGTTTTACCTGTCTAGTTGTCCATCCAAGTGATGGATCATTCAATGATCTTTCAGGGAGTTTGCTCTAGAAGCTAATGACCTATTTAAAGCATTTCACCTTAGTTTGCTATCTGTAGCTTCAYCTTTAAACCATAAGAATTTTTTTTCTATTCACTCATAATTCAAAGATTTGTTATCTTTGTTATCATTTRTTATCAAAGATTTGGTATCTTCTTATGAAGTGCATGATAAAACCATGCAGAAACAGGTCAGAGCCAGCATTTTTTCCCCACTTTTAGAACACTTTTTAGTTTTGTAGTTGGAGGTGGAAATATAAATGCAAGAAAACAAAGGGTTTTTTGACTGTATTGTAAGCTGTATTAAGCTTGATTGTATTATAAAATGTACTTGCATTGTTGCCGCTTCCTTGGGCATTTGAGCACTTTCTCCTGCTTTCAGGGTGGTGGTGACTGGCTGTTTCATCCCACACTACATCATTCAGAACCATCATGCAGCAGTTTTAATGTTGTGAATTACATTGCAACATGTCGTGAGTGGGATAATTGGGAGGAGTTTCTAACTGTGTGATCTTCTACCTTCCCAAGAGTTTCTTTTCTAACTCATGAATTTTGACAAAAATAACCAACAAAAGCTGCACCAAAGATTAGAAGCTTAACTGGGCCCTCAGTGGACTAGCTTCAGAGGTGGCAGTGGTGCCAGCACAGAATAATATCTTCTGCTGTATCTAGAATAAACATAACCTAATGGTGAGATTGCAGAGGCATACAACATAGAAACCATTTTTTTCCTTTTCTTTTGCTCATTTGTGCAGTTCTCTTATCATAGGTATGAGAGCAATTATGCTGCTRTAGTGATTTTTAATGCTCAGATGTGAACATCTGAGATACAGAAGACGATGGTGCATTTTTTACTACATKTTTAATTCACCAGCAATAATGCATCTTAATTTTGTTTGTTCTGTCCTGCATTGTATTGTCCTGCAGTCTGTATTAGCATACCAGGAGGTCAGCAAAAATGTAGGATCATAGTGCAGTAATGGAATCAAAGAGCATAAGAGATGTGGTGTTGCAGTAATGGGATTTTCAGGAATGACACCCTTTTGTTTTTGATTTTTATTGGATATTACTAATTGTGTTTTTCTGCTTCTTCTCTAGGCCGTGTCTGGTTTCCAGAGAATCTTGTCTACATTAACTCTTACACTGTTTCCCACACTTTATTTTTTTACATTCCTTTATTATACGGACCCAGGATCAGTATTTTTTACTCTCTTTTCATATTTAATGTGCCTTTATGGTAACCATAAAACTTCAGCTCTGCTTGGATTTTGTGGCTTCATGTTTCGTCAGACAAATATTGTGTGGACAGTTTTTTGTGCAGGAAATGTCGTTGCAGAAAAGCTGAATGAAGTCTGGAAGACAGAGTTACTGAAAAAAAAAGATGAAAAAATTTCCTTCATTAAAGGATCATTTTCAGATCTGATCAGAGTATTACGCTTTCTTACTGAATACCTCATATCAGCTCAAAATCTAATTAAGCTTATTGCTTTAACTTGGCCATACGTCCTAGTAGTAGTTGTGTTCTTTGCTTTTGTCTTCATCAATGGTGGAATAGTTGTTGGTGACAGAAGTAGCCATGAGGCCTGTTTGCACTTTCCTCAGCTCTTCTATTTTCTGTCCTTTACTCTCTTTTTTTCCTTCCCCCATTTATTGACCCCTACTAAAGTCAAGAAATTCCTCAAGACCTTACGGAAGTACCCTCTGCGGTACTGCTTAATTGCTGTCATCTCCATATTCCTCATCTGGAAATTCACCTATGTTCATAAATATTTACTAGCAGATAACAGGCATTATACATTCTATGTCTGGAGAAAAGTCTTCCAAAGACATGAGCTTGTAAAATATATGTTAGTTCCAGTGTATATGTTTGCTGGCTGGAGTTTTGCTGATAACTTGAAATCAAAACCAATATTCTGGATTTTAGTGTATTTTGTGTGTTTATTTGCTGTTATAGTTCCTCAAAAGTTGCTAGAATTTCGTTACTTTATTTTGCCGTACTTAATATACAGGCTGAATATTCCATTTCCATCTCTTTATAAACAACTCTTAGAGCTGGTTTTATATATTTTTGTGAATGTAGCAACATTTTATCTTTTTCTAAACAAAACATTTCAATGGCCAAATAGTGAAGAAGAACAGAGGTTTATGTGGTGATTTTTTTTTGGTAGCTTTATTCCATTAGGAAAACCCAGTTCTGTTTCAGGACTGTAGACCCTGGAATAAAACAGTGTGCATTACATTATGTATTTTTTTTCCCATTGGGAAYGAGGGATAGAAATTAATCAGTTACCTATTTCCATGGAACTGAATGTGAGAATGGTATCTGTTGAATTTTTGAGGTGCAGGATTAAATTTGGAATTAGGGAAATTTCAGAAAAGCTTTTTGTAAATACTGTGAAACGAGGGAGATGTTTACAGCCATATTTCATGATAATCATGTATTCTATAGCATACTTTTGAAGGTATGACAGTTCATAAGTATCATTTGGAGGTGTACTTTAAAATAAAGTATTTAAGTGTTTAAGCTGTTTTTTTTTTTCACCTGGGTACATATTTACTGCTCAGCACAGGCCATTTACATCTGTGTCTGCTAAAGGCCAAGGTATGAAACCCTACTAAAATGCAACATTCTGAAAAACACCTACATCCCAATGAATTTTCATGAGTTGTTGGTCAGGAAATGCATGCTGCAGTTTTGCAGAGTGTAGGCTCTTAAATCATTGAGACGTTTTGAAAAGTGTATTTCAAACTGATATTTAGAAAATAGAGTGAAGACTATGTGCATGYTCCTTCTTTTGGGAGAATAAACATTATTGTACAACAAAGGATAAATTGCAGTTGATAATACGACCTATTAGGAGGGGAGTAATTTACATGTGCCAGGCTGAAACATGTCATTACAGGGTGGAGGGCAGTCTAATGAAAACCCTTTAAATAATGAGGCTTTTAAGTCCTGAGGTTCTGCGTTCACACGTTTGTATTCAAGCCGAATGGGAGTGCACTCCAAAGTTCAACTGAATATTTCTAAGATCTTTAACATGTAATCTTAAAAAAGAATACTAAYGGCGTTACTGAATTGTTCTTTTAAATGTTTTTCATATATATATGAACAGCTAATGGAACTAGGTAGTATATGTTTCTTTTTACAAAGGTAAAAAATACAATGTATATGATTTTTTAAAACATCTAGTGCATTATTTTCAGAAGGAGAGAACAGTTCCCGTTAGTAAATGACTTAAATTAGAGTTGAAAAATATTTGATCATTTCTAGTTAGCTATTCGGCAGTTTTATAAATACAACTAAATTATGTGTGTGTCACGGGGGGAATGCAAAACCTCACAAACTGGGTATCAGAGATCTTTCTCATTCCATAATGGAAATATTGCAGTCAGCTGAAACTATGCAAACGTTATAGCATTGACATTCCTGTCATTATGAAATGTTTTCCGTAAGGAGTTTTTCTCCTTTGCTTTTCCAAAGGTTCCTGATAGGAGATCACCAACCCACAGCAGTGCTGTTGCATTTTCTTACCTGTTGCATTCAGGTCCATGTTCTCTGGCTCTGCACCCTCTCCCTAACTCTTGGAGGTGTGTGGTTGATTCAGCTTCTCCTGTCGACTGTCTGTACATGGTTGTTTTCTGTGGTTGTAATAGGAAGGATTTTGGGGGTAATCCTGCATGCTTTCTGCTTCCAGCTTTGTTTTTGAATATCAGCCAGAAAAAAAGAAACCTAAGGGATATGCGCATGCACATACACATGCACATTTTAGTGCCATTTTACATGTGCACTCAGTTTTTTGTATTGCACAAATTGGAATGGCAGTATGGGATTCAGGTGGGGGTTCTCCTGGACCCCTGAATTGTTTTCTAGATATTTTTTTTTCTGAATTTTTAGAGGAACAAGTTTTCCCTTAACCAGCTGCAAAATTTCCTGTGGTAAAACAGTCCACAGGCATTTTTGTTTTGTCCAGGATATCTGTTGATACTGGTGTCTGCCTGCCTTGGATTATATGCATTGTTAACAAAACGCGTGCGCTTTGTCCTTATATATATAGCAACGATGTTTCAGGTAGAAAGAATCAAGCTCAGATATACACTATTTTAATGCAATTGTGCAATTTTCTTGTAAGGAAAAGTGACTGCAAGAGAGAAATGCCCCCAAATTCAGAACACCTTTCCAAAGAGCCCCATATCACAAGATAGTAGAAAAATTAGAGATAGTGAGATGTCTGTGAAGTTTATTAAAATAAGATTATTAGTTGACAGAATATTTTATCATGAGAAATATCAGTGAAATGGTTTGTTTTGATTTAACAGTGCTTTTACTCTGAGTGTCTTTTGCTAATTTAAAAACAGTTGAACTGTGCTGTGCTAAAGAAGAAAGCCAATGAATTAGTAAACGTGAAAAGACGGAATTATTTTTAGTATAAAGCTGAGTTTTTACTTTTGCTGTTGTATCAGAGGTATCRGTGTTATACCAAATATATAAAATAGACTAAAAAATGAGATGGAGCATAGCAGCCAGATTCTATTTCACACATGGAAATGGTTATAATTATATCATAATTAGTCATAAAGAAGGTCTCCAAATGTCATCAATCTCTTTTAAGAATTTGGCAAATACCAGTAGCAGTGACATTGTTTAAATCTAGATACAAGAATTAGTTTAAAATACATCATGACCTTGGAGAGTGTCTCTTTTGGAAAATTAGTCTTACTATATTGCTCCTGGACGATTTCCACTGTAATTGTRATTGTAATAGCAAATACTTATTAGCTGTTCCTTTTCAAGAGACACATGAAAGGGGCCACATTTATCCTGGTTTATGTTGTCAAAACTCTTTCCATAGTCAAAGGTCTTTTCTAGTCTCAGTGAAACCCTGATCCTTAGGTTAACTCCTTGGCTGGGGAAATCCAGCATAGAAATTACTTGCAGTAGCATTAAAAAAAATACTGTGAATTTTATGAATCAGGTATCCATTTAGAAAAAGTCACTCTGATTAGTTGAAATGAAAAAATGAACAAAATGTACAAAATGAAAAGAAAAATAATGGATTTAACATTTATTAATCAATCTGTAAAGAGCCTGATTCCAGATTTCTTAAATATAAAATAGAAGGTAGTTTTTCAGTGACTGCTGAAAAAACAAGATAGAGGGCTGAAGAGCCACACTGTGGAGTATTTATTTTGATTTAAAAAGAAATCATTTTAAATCACTTTCTAAAATTAAAATACTGGATGAACGTTGCTTCCTTGAAGCAGGGACATCATCTATCCTATATACTGTAAAACGTATTATCRGTTATTCACGAGTTTTCTGTATTTTTTCATTCCTCTAAAGTTCTTTGACAACATTTTCAACAGGCGAGTTCAAAATGAGCACGAATTTTCACCACGCACATATCACTTACGATGCAAATCTTCCTTATCTGTGACTCTGCTTAAGAGTAAATGAGCATTAAAAAAAAAAAAAAAAAAAAACAAAGCCAGATTATTTTTGTGAGAAAATTAATTTGGGAAAAAGTCATTTTTAGCCTCTGAGCACAGCTAATTTTGTCCTGGGAAGGCAGTTTTGAAGTTTTTCACAAGGTGGCAGCCTTGTGCCATCTTCTAAAGGTGACAATTTGCTTGATGTAATGCTGTTTGAAAGGATAGCATCGTTTTTTAGCCCAAGTATTTTCTGAGAATTAGAAAAATTCAGGTTCTCTCATGAGTGATTGCGCATTTTGGTAACTGGTTCAGCTAAAATATCTTGTATTTGGTTTAAATTTACATTTTGTATGAGTTTAGCTTAACTTTTGAAATGTGACTTTGAGTAAAATYGTTATTTTTGTTATTTGTGGAATTTTCATGTTTGGTGTAGTTTTACAGCTTATTCTCAAAATAATAATATTATTTTAAACAGTGTAATTAGTTGCCTAGAAAGTTGTGTAGATTTTCTTCTTGATTTATTATTAATTTCTACAGCATTTTAAATTTGTTTACATATTCATTCTATTCGTACCTGTATAAAAAGAAAAAAAAAATAAAAGTTTGGAGGACAAGTCAAGGAAATAAAGGAAAATAATAAAACTTTTTGGGCTGWCACACATAGTGATTTATTGAAACATTCTTTTTTTTTAAGTTGCTTGATGCACATATGAAATATGTCTGCACATATGAAATGTGTTAGATGTCTGTGAACCATATAGTAGCTGACCCTACGTTTTAAACTTGTCGTCTAGTTTTTGTGTAATGAAAAAGTGTAAAGTCAGAAAGTGCATGGAAATAAATGCTTCCCGTTATCGCAAATTCTTTCTGAGTATTAGCAGTATTGGGTTTTTTTTTCCTAGAAAAGCTTTGCTGTCCATGCTTATTAGTGGTGGTGTTTGCTTTTTATTCAGTGACATTTGTGCATCAGCTGAGACATCAATATCTCCCATAAACAAACATCTTTCCTAAAAGCAAGTTGCAGATGGATCCAGAAAATTGGTTTGTTTCTAGCTTCTCATTTTATGACAAAAATGAAAAAAAAAGAAAAAAAGAGAAAGAGAAGAACCTCTCCAGGAGGCAGAAATGCTCAGCTGCTACACAGAAGTATGTAGCTAAAATGCTCCTAATCTGTGAGTTTTTGTCACTGGGCTCTGAGCTGCAGCACAGGTCATGTTGAGCACTTCATGCTCTTCCCTTAGCTTTTGGGATAATAGGGACATCAGGAGCAGAAAGCCAAAGGAAAAGTATTTCTGCTGGAAGTTGGTGCCATAACCAGTGTCCATAGGGCTACACGGAGCAGAAGGGAACGGGCTGCTCCCCGAGACCTGGAGCTCTCCAGTGTTTATCACTGTGGTCTCCTGAAGCATGTGGTGATGCACAAGACTTCTCCTGCATGAGCGGAAATGTCTTCTCCACCTGGAAGGAAGCCTTTTTCTTCCTAAAGTCTGCTTAATCACTGTGAGAATTTGCTTGTTTGAAACTTAGCAACTAATTGGTTTATCAAAAGATGTTTATTGTGTTTAGTTGTGGCTCTGTAAATAAAGCCTCTGTTGCTATTGTTTTCAAGAGATGCTGTGAGCTTATTTGAATTGTTACTACATGTTATTTGTGGGGAAGGGCTGTTTTTGTCCCCTGATTTTCTTGTCCAGAAATTTTTCCATTTTTATAAGTAAAAAATACCATTTCTTAAAAATAAACTTTTAAAATAGAGTCTTCCAGTGTGCTTTATTTCTTGAACATAAATTAATGCACCATRCCTTTGACACAAATTATCATGAACTTACATTAACAGCATCCCTGTGCATCTTTTTAAAGATATAGTTGCAAAAGTTTCCCCTTAGCAATCTTCATATTYCTAATGAGATTAGATTTCCATGTTTTCATGTCTAAAAGAGGTCATAGAAATAGCCTTGTGCATGCAGAATGCAAAAGAAATGGTCGTAGTGATTATCACTGACAGAGTTTATAGTTTTAGGGCACTGCTGCAGACTTGCAAGCTTAATACGCATAAATGACACTGCATTTTCCTGGATTCCCATCAAATCTCAAACAAAACCATGTCTGGCTGAATGGMAATTTAAATGACAAGCTTCAAAAGAACAAAGGAGACATGGTCAGGACTATCACTGATTTCAGAGATAGCGCTTCTGCCTCTGGGTCAGCACTGAGTGCCTTAATATTGTTAATGGGTGGAAAAAGCACATTAAACCACAGTTTGCAGCTAAGAGCAACTTGGAAGTTCTGTATCTAAGTTTTT